TCCCCAGGGACAGGAAGGCCGGTGTCAGGAATGTGCTCCCAGGGGTGCAGACAGAGGGAGCTGAGGGAGCTCAGCATCCCTCGGGAAGCTGCCAGCACCTCCTGTGGAAGGGGACCAGGAGCAGGAGCTGGCAGCCAGCCAGGAAATGCCTGTGGGAATCACCGTGAAACAAGAGCCCAAAACAGGTTTGCCATCTGGGACAGGCCAAGAAATTGTTTTGGCTCCAGGCAATAGGTCTGTCTTCTTCCAGGAGGGAGTGAAAGAACTGGAGGAGAAATCAGAACTGCAATGGAAAGTAAGACTAGAGAAAATATCTGAATGAGATCTTCTCCAATAGGTAGGAGACCAAGGTACGGAAAGTATGAAAAGATGGGAAACTTACTGCTCCTGTCACACCATCCCTGTTTAGACTGGGAGTGGAGAAGGAAAGAAAGGGCGTTCCCTTAAAAAATATAATTGAGTGAGACATAAATCAAGAGTTGGTTCACTGGAGTAAATTAAGGTTGGCTGCTCTGAAGAGTGAGGAAGTGAAAACCTTTGGTTGGCTGCCCAAGGGAACGGAGGAGAGGAGATAAGATATGAGGCAGATGATGAAAGGGATGCAGAAGCACAGAAATGTGAACATGTTAGAGCTGATAAAACATTGTGCTCTAGGTCTTACTTTTCCCATTCCAGTGGCTTGGAAGTGTGAGACAGAGCTGACAAAGGATCCTGCAACAAAGAGACAGAGACACCAGGACCACTTTTCAGTTATAAGCTTTTTCTTTTTTAGAATTCAAGCTTACACAGTTATCTATGCCCACTATATTCATAATTACATTTTAATATCTGCATACAAAAGCTATGTAAAAATTATTTTCTTCCCCAAATATACAAATTTTCTCTTTAGATAGTTTAAAACATTTGTGATCACAGATTTTTTTTTTTTAATATATTTTAGGCTGAAAAAATATTACCAATCTAGCATAACTCTTAACACTGTTTGCAAAAAAATACATCATCCAAGGTACTTTGTTTTTTACTGTACGGTGTAATGTTTGCCTTACCCTCAGGGCATGAAACTGATATAAAAAAAGAAAACAAATAAGCAAAACCCACAAACCTCACAGACAAAGTAGAAAGTCGTCCCAACCAATTTCATAAAAACAAATAAACAACCCAAACCACCCTCCTCTTTAAAAAAAATATGAATGACTAATTTGATGTATTTATGAGCAAACTGAAATTGTAGAGTGCTAAGGAAGTAGAAAAAGAGAAAAAGAAATTACAGTATGTCAGCTAGTTCATGCCCTGATACTATCTTTACCAACATTAAATGTGTAATTAAATAAAGTGTCTTTTAATGTTTTACATTGTGCTCAGTAATTTACATAAATTTAATCCACACCTGGGTGCTGATGTAGATTTACATTTGATTGTCTTGTGCATAAACAAGGTTAGCTTTTAAAGAAGGTAAACTGTGCAATGGACAGTCACAAACAACTTATTACCTGCACAATATTGCTTTTTGAAGGCGACATCAGTCAATGTGGATACACACAAATAATGCATACTCTTTGCATTTGCTAACATCTATACTAAAACTTTGTGATAAGGCCAAACCTTTTTTTGTTTTGTTTTTAATTTTAAAGCAAAAATATACCATAGTAAAAAAAAACAAAACCAAAAATGTTCTCACACCATTTTGAGTCTTTAAGTGGAAAATAAATCTCTATCACACTAGAATAAAATTCTCTCTATAAAATTCAAATACAGATCACTTCATTACTATATCAAAAGGAAACGTCTGGCAATCATTTCCAGATGATCACAATAACAAGACACATTAAGAGGTTCTGTTGCCTCTTCCTTTGTGAAAAGATAAATGTTGAACACTTTCAATTGCTCTCACAGTGAGAGGAAAACCTTCCTTGGTTGTGGATTTTGATTCTGTCAATGAAAAAGGTTTAGCCTTAGGAATGCTGGCTACATCTCAAAACCATAAGACTGATTTTTAAAATTTATGATTCATGCAGCAAGAAGTCAATATGACACATACAGATTAGAGTTCCATAGCATAAAAATACATCACTAGCAATGACATGCTCTGCTTGTGATTAACAGCCCTCTCTTGGCAGATTTCTGATATAAATTGTCTTTCTGGACAGTTTTTTTCTCTTTCTAATACCTGCCTCTGAAGAAGCAAGCAGTCTGCTCAAGGATGATTTTGGACCTGGGAGGTCTAACTCTAATGTCTACATTTTGGCAGAATGTAAACAAAAATCATTAGCACGCACTATATATGTTATAATAAATATCACAACTTAACTGAGATTACACATGAAATGAGTATCTAAATGCACATGTTACTCAGGGCAATACCATGAATGGTGACAATCAGGTTTGACAGAAAAAACCTTCTGTGTAAGACCCACATGTGGACCACAAAGCAAACACAAAAGAGCCATGTGGCACCAGCAGAAACAAGACTCTGGACTGCACTGGAAAGCACAAGTTTGTTATTTCACTCAGGAGTTACTACAAAGGGTGCTGCCTGTGGCACTGGTGTCTGCCACTGAGGTGGTCCCTCAATGGCTTGAGACCACTGATATTTAGAAGTACATCTTTGCAGAGCTAAGGTCAGTTAGTTTTGCTCTCACGATCACATAACTCAGCAGTTCGTACTGAGGAAGTAAAGGAAGTGACACAAAGTAAGACTGGTAGGAGATCAGAGGCCATTAGATGTCAGTACATCAGATCTGTTCAACTATGAGCTTGGCCTTAATTTTCAGATAGGGAATACTACTAACTCAGTCTGTTAGTTACTACTAGACTCCAACTTAACCTGAAAAGCTAGAAAAACATATTGATGTATGTCCTTTCTGCTTAGAGCACTGCCAGAACTGTCTAAGTCGGTTGCCTGAATTTAGGCACTTCAGTCCATCTGCAATCACCTAAGGAAGGAGGCCTGATTTTCTGAACCCTGACTAAGCACAGCTCCAATCTGCATTGGTATTTTGGAACAAGAAGAGATGTGATGCTTCCTCTTCTGGGTCTCATCTGCAACACAGTCAAAAGCTTGAATGCCTACTCAAGCTCACATTAAGCAAACAGGTGAGGTACTTGCACTGGCTACAGAAGGAATTTCATGCTCAGATCCATGGCAGAACAGAGCTTCAAAAGACACACACATTTCTCTTTTCTTTGCAAGTCACTGTGGGCACAGGCACTGATGCCTAAGCTTTTCATATATTTGTCATAGATTTGTAGCTTTGTAGATTTCTAATACATGGCTGTAGCTCCCAGTACTTTTCCTGTCCCTTTTCCCCTACATTTTAGACCAATAAGATAACCTTCTAAGACATATTATGCTACATTCCTGAAATATTATTTAGTCTTGACTCTTTAGCCAAGGATTAAAAAGTATTAAGCCAAGGATTAAATGGAGTCTTATTTCCTTTTACCATGTATCCTAGACATAATAAATACGGGTCTAGAAACTCAGAGTGGCTCCAAACCACTTGGTTTGGTTGGGCAGAACCAAAAAGGGGGGATTACTTAAATAAATGCTCTTCGAATTGGACATTATTGTTAAAAATGCTAATCTGTTAAACTTACAAAAATTGTAGAATTTGTAAAACTTATAAAATTGTAGAAGTCCCATATCATGTGTACATGTTGCCATATTCACACCTGGAGGCCTCTAATTCTGCTTTTATATTCCTTGCTATATTAATATTGTCTCAAAAGTGTGTTGTTTTGTTTCTAGATTGTGAAGACATCAGTGTAAGTACGGGATTGGCTGCTTTTCTGAGTTCTCTATTACATGCTTTAAGTCCTCCATCAAGTCACCCCAAATCACCTATCCAAAAAGCCAGTTTCTGACTCTTTGTCCCCAGGACAGTGCTCTACAAGGAATTTGAATAGAGATGTTGTTTAGACACATGCTTTAAGATGGAGCCAACACAGCCAATAAAAGAGGTTCTACACCAAATATTTAAGAATTAATCTCCAATGGTGTGTCTTCACAGCTAACTGCAAAAGCACTCCTAAGCACCCCAATGTGTTTCATGTTCTGACAAAAAAACCCCTAAGTGATAACATTAGTGCTCATAGCACATCACAGGTGCATATGATATCAAACAACAGGGACAACAAGATTCCACATCCGTAAAAACATGCCCAGTATCACTCTAAATGCTTTATCAATGATGTAGAGAAAGAAGGGTAGAAAGAATTTAACTCCTGACACACATAAATCGTGTCCCATCTACAAGTTTTCCTGAGTATCCTGTTTTTATGAGGGGATAAACACATAAGATATGGGTTCAGATATGGGCCATGAGCTTTGAAAGCCAACACATCCAGTCTAACAATGCCCACAATTTGCCAGACAAATGGGTCAATAAATGGCAGAGAAAGAAACTGGTACAAATCAATGCACAACATGAAAGAATATAGGGTATGAGGCAGTGCAAAAAACATGAACTAAGTCTCTGGTGCCCAGGAAGAACAGAAAGATGTTTTAGATGTGTCATACAAATTCAGAGGATGGTTTAATATCAAGTGTATAAAACCCAGGGACAGCATCCCTGAATGGAGATGGTGACAGAGAGGAACCTCTACCTACAATGTCCTCATCACTGGCCTCCAAACATTTCAGGACTGTGAGAACTGGCTTGCAGACTTCGGCAGCAGGACATTTTGTCATTGCTCAGTTTGGTTCCTGCTAGTGCAGTTAGTGGAAATAAATTAAAAGAATCAAGAGAGCATCTAGCCTAATGAAACACATACAGACACACCTGTAGGAAGGGAGAACTCAGCTGATTCACGCACACACACACAGGGCAGAGTCAGAGAAAAAGAGAGAGAGAAAATAAAAATATGGAAATATGTTTAAGACATCTGCTGAAGATTTGTAATTATATATATATATAAAATTATATATATATGTGCATATAAACTTTATATATATATATATATATATATATATATATATATAAAACAAAGAATTACTGCTGAGCAACACTATCTGTATTACTGGGATAAAGCTCTACAGTCTTGAGTGTTGTTAATAACATAGTTGGTTTCTGTCCCATCTGAAGATCACCCTGTATGTTTCATTCTCCTTATCCTCTTTCTATAGGAGCCCTCATATCCCTGAATAACTCTGAGACACTGCCTGCTATCCTGATAGAGAGCCTTCTCCCTCAGAGTGATGGATTTTCCACACACCTCAGAAAAAACAGACCCCTCCACTATCAAGAGAAGCACCTCAGATCAGATTTCCTTCCTCACTCTAACAAACCTTCCAGTGAAGTTTACCTGGAGTCCAAATTTAGTAACTGAAGATGTTAATATCTTATACACATGGAAAAAAACCCACTCAGTCCCTTCTAACACTCTGCATTATTTTAAGTACTTGATTTATGGGGCACAGTTAAACTCATCTGCAACTGCATCAGAGAATGATGGGAACATGATGATGATGAAGATCCTAAATCATAGTGGTAATTGTTACAATAGAAACAATCACAAAGACCAGAAATTTCATATTATGATTTGGTCAGTTGTACCCTGCAAAAGGAGGTAATACAAGACAGAAATGTCAGTGTCAAATTAACAGCTGTTTTATCGTGAAGGCAAGTTTATTTTTCTGCCACTTCAATCTCTCTCCCCTGTTTTCCAGGCAATAATGGGTGTGAGCTGGTGACCACACAAATGCTGGTGAATGAGATTGGTCTGTTCCTATTTTCACTGTTAAGCTGTCAAAGCACTCACATCAAAAGACTGAAGAACAAATTGCAATAGTCACAAGTACCCGCATTAAAGGGATGTTTTCATCCATGTGTATACAATTGCCCCCCAGTAACCCCAAAAGAAACCCCAAACAAAACCCCAGCCCCGTCTCAAGAAACAGAAGACCACGAAAGAAGAAGAACGAACAGGTGAGAAGAGCTGGGCAACGGGATGAAATGACAGCCAGTAGTGCGACGGGGGTGTATAGAACCACTTCAGTCTCTCTAATCCTCAAACACTTCCAGGAACAACGGAGGGAACAGTTCTGTGGGGCACTCCACCTTCATGTGCAGGAAGCGGCTGGCATGGCAGGCTCCGATCATTCGCAGGTCTGTCACTTTCATCAGCAGTTTTGGCCAAAAGTGTGCAACATGGTGTTTTCTGTAATTAATGTAGTGTTCGAACGCCAGGAGGAAACCCTCTTGACACTTTTCTATTCTCTCGACGCAAACAAGGCCTGGGCGATCTGTAGATACAAAGCAGCAGAATTATAATTTTTATTTGCTTTAGCAAATGCCTGATTATAAATCAGGAAAAATAGGATGATTCTGATGCTAGGAAAGAAAGGAGAGAGACAGGGGGCATTTGTGGCTCTGCCAAAAATTTCTTTCACCCCAGTCAACTCACTTGTTAGTTCAATCCCTGTTAAAAGAACAAGATAATCCTTCCTTTCTTCATCTTTTGCCTGCTTTCCTCACTTAGAGTGTAGCTGTTTGGGAAGTGTTTCCTTACAGTGACTAGAGCATCAGATCCCTGATTTCAGCTAAGGCTTCCATCTACGTTTTTCTGTAAAACAACTAATAAAGAAACAAAAAAATATTTCCTTGTCAGATATCTAAATTACAGTTACTTTCTATCTGTTTTCCTACAATCCGACCAATGGTTTGATCATGATTTGATGCCAGGTGAGCTGTTATGGAGCATCAAGGAACAACAAAGGCCAAAAATCTGGCTGTCTAAACTGGCACCCAGACAGGGACTGGGAAAGCCCCTTTCAAAAGCCACTTCTCAGGAGACACTTCTGGGAAAGCAGGTCCTTTTTGAACTGCCTTCTGAAAGCCCTGCTCCTGTATCACTGTGTAGGGACCTAAAAATAAATCAAAATATTTTGATGGGGAAGATGAAGTGCTGTGTTATGATTAATGTGGAAACCTGTTTATCTCAGATGCAGTTAATGTTGTAAATTACTGATAGCGTATTGTTATTCAGTGCCCAATGTTCAAAGCCATCTTAAAATAAAATCTTGCCAAATCTGCCACTGCCCAAGAATGGAATTTCCTCTTTGGGCTGGCACAATCACTGGAAGAATATTTAAAAACATACTCAAGTTGAGAAGGTTAGAAACTCTTTGGAAATCATAGGAAGTTGTCTGTGCTGCTTTTGTATCATGACCAGTTGCAAATGGTCCCATCACAGGGAAACAGCACAACTCGTAAATGCCCATTAGGAAGTAATGGTGCTGTTAAATCGGAAAACAAGAGGGCAAGTCAAACTAAACATATGAGACTGGTGGAAATGTGTATGAACGCTCAGTGCATGACATTACTCAGGGGAAGAGGGAACTTATCATAAGGACCAATGTTGCCAAATTATCCATTCCACATTTAAGGCAAACTGGCTCAGAATCAGAACTGATTTTTTTCTTGATGATCATCCCTGGCTCATTCCTAAGTACCAAATTAAGCAAGGTGTGTTACCAAAATCACTTTTATGTCCATCTCTCCGAACACCCTGAATTTTTTTCCTAGTATTCACCAAAATGAGGGGTTTTGAGAGAAAATTTCTCCCACATTACTCTAGTCAGCACTACAAGATTTAACCTACCTTATTTCTTCTACAAAAACACTTGTGACAAAGACCAAAGAGTTTCAAAATTGTTTGGATCTCAGTATATTTCTGTTCTCACCTGATGACATGAGCAGAACAGCCTGAAGAAGGGCAACCTCGGTGTCATCCAGGTTAAATGAAGAAAGAGACATGCCCAGGTCAAAAATGGCATCAGACACTACGCCAAGACCCCCATTTTTCAGCTGGCCCCTTGTCACTGCCATCTCCCCATTTAGTGTTAAAGTCTCACTCTCGGGGTCATAGCGAACTGCTGCTCGGAGGGACATGATCTCCATACAGCAGCCTTTCAGAAGGATGATCTGGTCTTCACATGGCAGCTGCAGAAATTATAAACAGCAAAGAAAAATGCATGTTTGTCAAACTGAGTGGCTTTTACAACTACAGTAAATCCACAAGCATGAAGTTGCAGTTCACAGCCCAGGACACTGCCCCACAAAGCACAGCTACCCTCCAAACATGCTGTTCTGCACAAACCACCAGGATCTTTGTTCCTGCCCTCAGGAACTACCAGCAGGTTAACATTCCCTGGTTAGCATCCCCACACACCCTTAGGAAATCTAGCAATAACACAGCTATTGGCTCCCTCAGCTTACAACTTACCACAGCAGAAAAAACTATAATTGGGGGTGGTGCAGACACAATGGTTGGTGCCATCCCAGTTAAGTTTACTACCAGCCATAGTTATTTCTTACCTGACCAGAGGAAAAGAAAAACTTTTGGGAGGGTCTTTAAGAATGGACTGTGTTTTAAATAAAAGGAATTAAATACAGGTTTATATCTAGAGGATATACCTAAATCAGTGAAGCAGTAATTCTCACTGCCCATTTTAACAACAGAGAATTTATTAATCCATTCATAATCTAGTAAGGCTGTTCTCCCTGAGCTCCCTACATTATTGCTGGACAGACAGAAAATCTGTGGTATAGCTACAGCTTTTATGCTGGTGTATAAGCTGTGATCTTCAGGACACGTGTCATTTCCATGCCATTTAACAAAGGCAAGCTGTCCAAATTGTTAGATGTAGGTTCTGTATTTACAGAGTATAACCAGGATGATGACACATGAGCAGAACGTGTTCTATAAAGCATGTCTTTATGTTTTCATAGGTTATTCAATGATAACAAAACACACCAAGACAATTTTGAGACTGTTCACATACATGAACAGCAAGGGTCCCACATATGAAAGGGTAACACAGTTCTGCTTGGCTTGAAAGGAGGCAAAAAGCCATTTAGTTTTGATTTATACAGAATTATTATACTTACCTGTTTTGCAATTCAAAATGAAAACCCCCATGAACTATAGGTTTACATGGCAACAGTGTACTTGCAAAGCAAGTGCATTGATTTGGTGGGAAATGATGCAGAGCTATTTATTCAGCACTCACATAAAGTGTGTGCACCTTTTCCGAGTTAAGTAACGGTGGCCCGTCCACCGTAGTCGCAAATCGGTAATTGCGCCAACTTAGGATAAGGATGTTACATGGACGCGATGGAACACGCCATGCGGCACCGGATGGCAAGAGACCCACAAGGGGGCGAGCATAGCTCTTCTCAAGCCCGGGACAACTGCACACTACCAGTGACGTGGCCCTGTACAGCACAAATGCGTCCCATTCCACCTCTGCTGGCGTACAGTCCCCCAGAGGCCTGGCTTTACCCAGGACACCACCTCAGCGACGCCCTCAGTGCATATGACTTGAAATGTGGCAGTCCTAGGATCACCGGTTATCTCCCATCCTACCAACTTTAGCATTGGATTAAGCGGTATGGTACACGGAATGGGGTTATGCCCTGCTGCACAGTTGTCTATAAAGCAAGAGCTGCTGGGATCAGTTCCTTGCCTACAAACTGGCCCTGGCATGAAACAGCGTCCCTGGTCCCTGGTGGAACCACCCTAACCTGCCCAGTGTCACCACCACAGCTGGGAGGAAGGGCTTGGGGTCGATGGTATGACCAACGACTCCGACTGTGAAGATGTTTGCTCTTAGCCTGCAGACGAGGAATAACGTTACCACAAATGTTACCCTGTACATCGTGCGTGCAAGTGGAAAGCAGTTCCCTGTTAGAGAAGAGTTTTAAGCAGAAAGCTAGCCATGGTCAGGAAAATGAATTGAGTCACGCAGCTACTTTTCCAGCAATGCCAGCTTCAGGTGTGAATTGTTTAATACACAAGAAAATTGACTCATCCTGTTGAGGACAAATCAGTTTCCCTACAGACGACCCTCAGCTCAGCAGCAGTGTGGGGAAGACTGCACAGGCACAGCGGCAGTCTTGCTACCCAATGACAATTCCACTATTTGGCAGCAGAGACTGAAGCAGGGAAATAAACAGAGTTTTAAAAAAACTGAAACGAGAACAGATATGTGAGAGGAACCATGAAGAGATACTGGAATAAGCAATGGCAGTGAAAGAAAGGACATGAAAGAAAGGAAGTGAAAAGGGATAAGAAAAGAGAAATTAAAAAAACACAAAGCCTATAAATAGAAGGATAAATAGTAGAAAAGAAACAGATAATAGTAGAGAAGATATTTTGTGATGTTTCACCCGTTTTGCTAGTAAGCCACAAAACTAATGAGGATTTCTCTTTCTACTTGATCCTTCTTGAAACTTCTTTGTGGTAGTGGTGGTCTGACTATGCCTGTCCTTCACCTGCTTTTCTAATTCTGAAGGATGCATAGGACAACTGTTTCACAGATGCCAGGTCTCATGTCTTATCTGCCAGTAGCAGGAGTTACCAGAGACAGAAGGCTTGAACATCAGCTCTACTCCCAACTGTGCAGATTTTAATGCTACCTACACTCATTACTTGACTGTTGCTACCAGAGCATCTTCCAATAGCTGGATCAACAAATGTGACTGAAACTGCCCTGTGTTGTCCTTTCTTCTTTCTCTGCAGGGAGAAAAAGCACAAGGCAGGAATCTGAGGTGCTCACCCCTGCAGGACACATGTGCAGTGCAGCACCATGGAACTGAGCTGAGCTGAGTGACCTCACAGAGTATTTACACAGCTTCACTCACTGTGGGACCACTGATGTCTTGACATTTAAAACTCACATCAAACTTAATTACATTCTCCTCAATCTTCATCTTCTAAGTAGAAAGAAAAGCAGGAAGGAAATAACAGAGGAAATGCTGAAAAGCAAATGAAGTTTTCCTTATAGGTTGATTACTCTGGGATTGGATACTTGTTTTGAGGTAGGGGTCAGTGGGTGCACACACACTAAGCTGGGCACTCACAGTGCTTTGCTGGCTTCTACATGTGTCCAAAGATGTGAAAAAAAAAGGAAAAGTAGCCATGAAAATGTAAGTGACCATGGATGTTCCCTGTCATGTTTCTCTTTCATAGAGATTTACTTCCTTGTCAGACAGCTTCTGGAATTAGGAACTGAATTAATGCTCTGCAGGTCCTATGGAAAAAAGGAGTGTTTTTTTCTTGCAAAAAATCTACAGCCCACACAGCTTTGCATCTAAGAAAAAGATATGGGTTAAAAATCATAATGGAAACAAAGTCAACAGGAGGATGCCCCTTCAAAAAGGAGCAAACATTTGTCATTTTCTTCATGTTACAGCAAATGCTATATGACAATTCAGAGGACAGCTGTCCTATTCCTTTGTGTTCATGAGGAGTTGTCCCTCACCCTGCCATCAGATCTTGCTGTATATGGGCAGGTGTCAGATTTACACAGTGGCTCAGCTGCAAACAAAGCCTGTCCAGCTGAGCCACGTAACATACAGAGGTCATGCTCAATGATGCCTTGAATTCTTCATCCTTGATTCCTTCCTAGCTCTGACACAAGTGGGCCCATAGTAGTCAGGAGGGGTAGGAGATGTCAGATGGGCACTGAAGTCTGTGTGTGACTGGCAGAGCTTTCTAAATTAAAAAGACTACCTTGGTATGTCACTGCAATTTCTCACCAACAAATGCCAGATCAGAGGAGACAGATTCCCTCAGATGCTAAATGCTGCGGGGGCCTCATGATCTATGGACATATTCCTCATATTTTAAAATCTTCATGCTTGACTACTATTTCATGCTTCCTTGACTGATGGTGCCAATGCAGAGGCTGGCCAGGGTGAGATATTTACACACTGACAACTATTGATATTTACCTCTTCTCATTCTGTACTTGCCAGAGGACATATATAGCTCTCCCTGACTGACTTTAAAGAAAAGTTGCCAGCCACAGGAGAGTAAAATGTTATGGCTGCCACACCCTTCCTTCCTAGTAGGGTGTTGACCTCAAAGGGTGCAATGAAAGGTGCTCCTGCCGAGGGTAGGATGTTGGAACCAGATGATCTTTAAGTTCCCTTCCAACCCAAACCATTCTATGATTCTATGAAAATTATTTATATTATTAAGACTGAAATATTATTTCAGGCTGCAGTAGTGACACCATTTATTAAACTGGAGAAAAAAGAAAATCAGCACCTGGTCTTTCAATGAAAATGATACCTTGGTACAAATGAGATCAGCATAAGGCCTCTGTATCCTATGTGCAACCAAGCCTTTGAGTCTATTTACTGTATATTTACATGTGATTATCTACCTGGAATGACAATCCGTTTTCATAGACTCTTTAATGCAAACATCCCCATTCAGAAAAACCAAGCCTAGGGAACCCAATGAGGTAAATGCCACTCCTGGACCAGGGGTACTTTCCTGAATTTGAAGAATTTCTTACTGCACAGACCCAACTTAATGATACTGTATCTGCCAAGGAACCAAAAGATACATAGGGAACCATGTGCTGGAAGATTTTATTAAACATATCAGCAATGCTTCTAAGCAGTGTATTTTTGTTCACTTGCTTGGTTCAAGGCCACCTCCAAAGTCATATCTGAGTCTCTAATAAACCACAATGACTTCCAGATTAACAAACTCAGGGTTTCAGTAATCACAGGAAAAACAAAAGTCATGAAAATCCAGGTTATTCTAGTCCCATCGATTTTGAGTGTCTTTAACTTTTTAATTTTAGACACACTGAATTTTTAAGTTTCATGCCAGAGTATTTTGACTAGTTTTTAACAACGGGCATATAAATTGAGGAGTGCAAGAAAGTCTTCTTACCTCACAAAACATAGGCAACTTTTTGGCAAAATCCACCACTCTTGTAATCGCTGGTGTGATAATTTTTGTAAACTGGCTGAAGGCTTCTAAATCCACTTTCCCACCTTCTGGGGCATTAACTATTGGTGCCTGCCCAATATCTTCTGGCTAAGGATATAAACAAAGATATTTAAAGGAGCAGTCTGTCTTAGAGCAACTATTTTATACTCTAAAAAGTCTTGCTTGGTGATGGAAGATACACTAAAATAAAAAGCAACACTATTTGCTTTATAAGTTAAGTCCATTTACATCACAAAATGTGAATTTATTTGTAAGGCATTTGTGAAAGAGGTGACTGCACAGAGAAATGGGTGACTGGTATGCTTCTGCCCATTCTTCATGGACAGCTGGACTGTTGTGCACACAATTTCTTCCTTGTGTCTCTATTTTATGGATGCAGCATATGCATCTTTTGCTTAAAAAACACAGGCACATTTTTCCTTACAGGAGCTGAAAGCTTCCCTAAAAGCAAAGAGAATTGGAGAGACATGTTATCCCTGAGAAGATGCTGCAAGCTTTTCAGAATTAGGCTCTTTCACCTACTCAAAGCTTGGGAAGTCTCCCCAGAACAGATTGCCAGGTATCACAGGGCCCTCCCAGGTAATTGCCAAGGCCAATTTCCGAAAGGCTAAACCAACTTATGTGCAAAGCTAAAACAACTTATGAGCAAGAACAGGCTAACCTAAAGGTGTTGTGAATAATGCAAATAGAATTTGAACTCATCTGGGTAAAATTTTAATTGAAAATTGCCTGTTGGATGATTTCAGCTCAAGGGTTCTCCAAATGAGAAACAAATCATATTTTGAGGATTTCAATAGGGATATAAAATGAAATAGTTTGAAGCAGTATCTGTAATGAGTGGTTTTTTTTATTCCAACTGCACTTGAACTTGTTTACCTGGTTTTTATGCAGCTGGTCAATGTTACCATGTATTTTAAAAACAGGCACATCAAAGCTGTTTTGTTTGTTTGACGTGTGGCTTTGCAATTACAAAACACCTGCCAGACACCATAGAGAGTTTTCATTCTGTTCCCATTAAGGTCAAAAACTAGATAAAATCCAGAGAAGTAGACATTTAAGACCAATGGGCCCCACAACATTTATATAAGACACTTATACAGGGGAGGTGTGGAAAGTGCTGTCTGTAATGAGAACCTGTGTTCAACCACTTTTTTGAAGAAACATATCATAAAAGATCCTTCCACAGCTCTGTAACCAATCTGAATCCAAATCTAACTTCTTATAAGAAAAAACTCAGCAATGTGCTAATAAAGCAAGCACCAATTGTAAAGGAACAATGAAGAAGACTGGGCTCAATTATCTGATGGTTTCTACTAAAAAAAACTCAAATAAACTAATTCCTAGGCTTTCTCCCTCCCTGAATCTTGGGTAACTAAACCGCATTGTCTGTGTGCTCATGATAAACAACCTTCATCATCCAAGCAAAAAGACCAAATGCTTAAACCCACATGAACCATTGGTATGGAGAAAAAGAAAGAGCACAGCATTTTCTCAGGAAAGGCAAAGCCAGTCAGGAGAGCCAGCTAAAGCTAACACACTGGAGAGGAGCCCTTTCCACCTACCTCAACAGGAGAAGAGGTGTGGACCCCAATGAAGTCCCTGTTATCAAAGAACCAGCCCCAGCCACATAAGGACAAATACATAGCTCCTGGGGCACTGTCAGCTTCTCCTGCTCTTCAACAGCTCATGTGCAGCCCCAACCTTGAGCTCCCTAGGTTTTATCCCAAACCAGCTAACACCCAAAGAACAGCACTACTGTCTAAGCAACCAAAGTACTACTGCAGCTGCTTCTTGATCTGCTCACATCTTGCTCCGCAACACCCCTGGAAAGTGCTCTCTTGCTTCTTGCAGTGATGACTGGCTGTGGTTTCCTGACTGCAGAGTACTATGAACATGAGCCATTCATATAGAAATTAAGATGGTGTCACTAGAATTAAAAAAACCCCAACATTATAAAAGAGATCAGCTGATCTGAATACATATTTTCTTTTAGCACTTCAACAGTGAGTTGAAATTCCCATGGTGAATTACGCAGTAGGAGCCTAGGCTTGCAAAAAGATGAGTGTGCTCTATCTGATTTGGTATACACTGACTGTTAAAGACCCTTGTGTATTTCTGAAATGCAAAATGCTGTACAAGCACTTTGCATTCTGCACTTATTTCCCTTAAAAATCAATGTAGAAAATTCAAGTAAATCCTTTTTTAAGGTTGAACATCACAAATTACCAGTTATTTTCTGACCCAGAGTTATGGGATGAAAATTTAAGTTGTTTTGTAGGCCGCAATCCCAGTGGTATAGTGTATGTATCATCCTGTTATCACTGAAATTAATTTTCTTTGCCTAATTTATTTTCATTAATGTATCCACCATTAACCAAAAGAGGCAAAATCCCTGAGTTATTAATAAAAAATACCAGCTTTTATCTAGAACTTTATATTGTTTTAACATTTAACTTTCAATATGTTTTATGATAGTCCCTAATAAAGACAGCTTTCCCTAGATAGAATATATTTAAAAATACAGTATGCATTATATACTGCTTCTGTTCTCCATCAGGAGTGAAACGATTTTTCTACTCTTTCTTATCATGGCACAATAAAAGTATCCAGCTGAGTAAGCCTTAACACAGCAACACACTGTTTATCTTTTGAAATACATGGTCTGATCAAACACTGAGGTTCAGGCACGAAAAATGAAGTAATAACTATGCAAAATCATCCTTTTTTCACAAACATCAGTAAACTGACAATAAAATCTCTTTGGGGTTGCAATGCTGGGTAGGAGCTGCTGGCTCTAAGAGCAGTGTACAAGGCTACAGCCCTTACCAGAAATTTCCTTTTCTGCTTCCAGTGGCTTCCTTGTGCATTGGTGGCCACATGGGCTTCAGTAACAATTTTGATGAGCTCCCATTCCTCATCTGTTGGCTCTGGTTTGTGCCCAATGGTTTTCTGCAGCTCTTCCCGACGTCTCTTCTCTCGATTTTCTTCTATCAGCTTCCTCTTTGCCAACCTCTTGCTGTCATCCAACACCACTAGCAGGGGAAAAAACATACAAAAATAGCAGGAAGCTCTTAAGACTGTCAGAACTTTGGTCTTTTCTGTGCCTGAGGTACCAGTTGCGTACAAACATCTTAACTAATCGGTAAGGAAGTACCTTGGCAAGATCCACAGCTGAGACAGTTCTCTTATTTCTCCCTTCAAACTTCTTTTTTTCAGAAGCCTGAATAGCAAGGAATGACTTATCCTCCTGGTAATGCTTTGTATACTGCCCTTGCCCTCAAGGGGTTATTCCATCAATAAAACTAATTTTTTTTTAATAAAAATAAAATTTATTAAAAATAAAATAAAATATGCAAAAGCTTTGTGAGGTGTCCAAGTGCTCCTACAATGGATTTGGAGTAATCCATATTGGGAAAGATGCACTTCTGTTTCCTTTAAAGTCTTATCAGCATGCTTACACTCACTGCTCTGAAGTGTAAAACATGTTATTGGGTGCTAGCAGAAGGTAACATGGACTGAAGAAAGGGAGCACTTATTCACAGAAGGCTCATCTACCTGAAGCATGACACAATCAGATCAACATGTCTTTCCTTAATCCCCACAAGTGGTATTCCTGCAGACCCACTACTTCCAGTGGCTCCAGATACAGAGGCCCCAGAGCTGCTCTGCTCACCACTTCACTGGTATCCAGCCCCTCTCCTGAAGTTATATCTGGCCACAGTGAAATAGTCTCCTTTATTCTATTTCCCTCTAGACAGAGGGCACTGTTAAACATTACATTAACAATGAAAATAGTAAGTTAGACTATTTTTCTGTTGTTTACTGGGCCTGTTTGCCTGTCAGTTCTTCTGCAAATGATTATAATGGCAACAACCATGAAGGCACAAAGGGGATTTATATGACTTCTGGGGGTTTTATGTGACTTCCTCCTATTTGTAGTAATTGAAGTTATTGGTGTAAATCCCTGTGGAATGGCAGGAAAAGAAGACCCCTAAGGGTTAATCTTACAGCCATATTTTCTACTTCTTTAGAATGAGAGTCGAAATCTTTGCAGCAGATAACTTCTTCAAGGCTAAAAATAAAACAAACAACTGCAGGATGACTCATACAATGACATTCAATTTCACATCCTCCAGAATTTTCTAAACAAGATGTTTTTATCTCAAGCAAAGTGTCCATCCAGATGCATTTCTCCCTCCTCTCCTCCAAAGAGTGAACATTCCTACTGTTATTCAGCTTGGTAAGGCCAGGAGAAGGTGCAGCCTGATGAAGGATAAACAAAAAATTACAGTCCTGTGAAAGTGTCTTAATGCAATGAGTGCAATTCCCTGGTACAAATTATTAAAACCAGAAAAGGGCTGGCAGCTCTACTTGACTTTAACAAGCTTCATCAATCAACATACGTTAAGCAAACACAGACATTGAAAAAAAAATAAAAATAAAGAAAACCAGGAAAATATACTTACAATCTGTTGCCATGCCAACAAAGATACATTTTTTGAAGCGACATTCCTGGCACTGATTTCTTGTTACTTTGTCTATCACACATTTTCCTTCATATTTACAGGAATAGGTTGGATGGAGGTTCTTCTGAATGGTTCTTCTAAAAAAACCCTAGGTTCAAGAAATAAATACATTGGAAAGCATTAGCACTGAGCAATTTTTAAAAATTGGGAGCTACTTGGTTTGTTAGGCATGTACCTAAGTATGCAAGATAACACACTTCATTCCCTGAAATTCTCAAAGCTTTCAATCCAGTTTTATAGTGTTTGGCATTTCTCTTGATTTTCTGTAATGATTAAAAACATAGAGACATTTTAGATAAGTAAAAGTGCAAGTAATGCTATCTTGTGGCACAAATACAGATGTCCTTCTTGTGTACATGCCTTCTTGTAGTCTTATGCTTTACTATGCTAAATTTTTTTTGCATATGAAGTATTTAATTTTGAGCCTCTTATCACTCTGTAATAATTTTGAAGGATATTAAAAGGCATATACATAGTTTTAATTAAAAAGCAGCTTCTGCAAATAGTAACAATGGTGGTGTGTTTGTGCTATTAAAGGCTTGAGGGCAAATAGTTCCACTCATTTCTTTCCATAAAAGCCAAATAACCAACCAATGAACCAACCAAATCTGGGCAAGACAAAGATTTTGCAAATACACAAACTACACAAACCTTTGAGATTTGTTCTAAACTCAAAGGATCCCTAATTTATAAATTATTTGCATTCCTGAGAAGCAGATTTAATTTGTATTTACCACAGAATTTCAAAAGCCCCATCACCACCAAAGATTCATGTATGTATGTATGTATGTATATATGTATGTATGTATCTATCTATCTATCTATCTGTCTATCTATCATAATACCGATCTATATGGCGAATTTAAACAGATCCTAACACCATATGAACTAATGCAATCCCACTGAATTCACTCATTTAAATACCTCATAAAACCTCCCTGTAGGTAACGAAGTCAGATAAAATTTATCTCTGAACATTATGGACAAAATCCTGGTATTAATTTCAACACGATTTTTCTCACTGACTTTTGCAAGGGCTGGATAGACTCACCAAGACTGCAAGAAATGAATAAGACAGGCTGTAAAGCAGGAAATTTAGACTTCACTTTAATTTCAAGTTTCATTATTTGAGACTGTCTAAATTCAGCAATGCAGCTCAGGATTGACGCAGAGAGCACACTAACACCCTGGTCCTGTTTGACTGAGAATGGCTTTAGTTTTAGTCAAAACAATGGCAAAATTCAAGTGAGATTTTACCTTATGAATAGTCTCTTCAGCTTGGATTTTGTCTAATGAATAGTCTCTTCAGTAGGCAAAAGGTCTGTTTTTAAATCATGTTAAATAACACCCAGTAAAATCTTACAGCAGTGCACAATTTCTTTTAACACAGAATGTTGAATTAAAATGTACAGATAAGTCTGTCTTTCAGCTTGTACTAACTCCTGTGAAGACAATGAAGAGCCTTGTCCTCATTAGAGTTTTATCTTACAAGGTTCAGCTTGAGCTAAGAGTACAACTCTTCCTTCTTTAATTACTTTAAGACCTGAAATGTTAATTAAACTGAGTGGCACAAAGCTTGTGTGTGAGCCTTTGCAAGACTGGGATGAGTTGTGTTGAGATAAAATCCAGGAAATCACAGGCAAGATATCCTTATGTGGGGTTTGGAATAAGTCTCATACTCTCATCGTCTGAGCAACCGGTTTTGTTTCGTTCTCAACTCTGTGATGAATTCCTAGAGTCAGAATCTGCTCCTCCCCTTCCTGAGGACCTAAGACAGCTGTGGACAACCAGGGTGACAGGGTTATCAGTAGTTATGGCAAGAGATGGAAAATCTCTTCTGGATGGAAAATCTACTGAATCTCAGTGAGTGAGTTTCTGCTTTCCAAACCTTGCACGAGATTTAATGTAGCTGTAGCTTTACGATGGCAAGGGTCTCCATCACCTCTGTTGGGACAGCCCATCTCACCTTCTCATTTCTTTGCATTTCTCTGAAATATTTTGCAAAACCCTTCTTTGTTTATCTCTAGGTACATGTTAAGGAAGCTGCTCTCTCTATCTTCACCACAGAAGTGTTACTCTCATCAATAAAAGAAAGCACATTGTATTGTAGGCAGTAACTCTTCCTAAACTCCTTTACTATGTACCTATATAGCAGTATAAGCAAAGGATAAAGTCTGAAAAAACATTTTGGTGATGTCAGAACTCATTTTTATTTGTGTTTAAATTCTTCACAATTTACTCTTCAGAAATCAGGTGTGAGGATGAAAGCGTTGATTATGCTTGTTACAAAACTAAAGTGACTTTGAGTGGAAGCAACTAGTAAACCTCAAATTAATCGAAAATTGATTATGTATATATTGTGTATTGATAAAACATATAACTTAGTTGATATATCATACAACTTGAAATGTGTATGCAGATCCTCCAAGAATTTAATTACTTTTTGCAAATTGTTATCTCAGTTCCTTGTGTACATAAGCATTATTTTAAACTGTGCATCAGACAGAAGAACTGTATGTGAAGATAAAAGCAGATTTTTATGTTGTGTCTCTAAAATAGCTGGTAGGCATAAAAAGAACTACTTGAGTTGAAGTAACAAAAACCTTAGCAGGAAAGCTGGCAAGAGATACAGCTGTTCAGCTGGGAGCTAAGTATTCTTCATAGTGCCACAGTGCTGCTTACTTTGCATTATATCTAAATTAAGTTGCATCCACACATGTTATGTATTGTTATCATCTGGTATTCAGGATGCAAATGCGTAAGAATCACTTGCATAGCTCCACAGTTCTTTTTTAAAGATATATATAACTTTTTTCAGACATTGTATGTAAGTATATGTATAAAACCATTATATAGGTTACCATGAATCTGCTACACATAGGATATTTAGGTCTCTGTGCATTTCATAAATATAACATAGGGGAATGATGTACAACTAAAGGAACTACTTCAACACAACAAAAACACAAGAGTTATTGTGATGAGGAGCTCTAAAGCCAATCCAAACCCAAAATCTCAGATCCAAATGTTCCAGACTTTGCAGATGAACAGAATGAGACTTTCGTGGCTTAGACTCATGACACTAGTCCAAGACATGTGTGGTCCCATTTGTTTAGAAAAACAATATTTTTTTTTTTATTTTCTGCAAGAAAGAATAGCTTTCTTACAGAATCTCAAGCTATTCAGGCAAATTCATGGCAGGGAAATCATGTAAGATATGCCTTATTCTGTTACTCAATTTTTTTATTTACTTGCCCAAAGCAATCTCTTTTTAAATTTAATTTTGCATGTAGTCTTGGAGATGCATTTTAGGCCTGAAAGCATATTTCAATATGCTTAAGTTAAAGAAATCAAAATCTTTTTGAAACTATTTTAATTGTCAATGTTTCTCAAATTGATGTATGTTACTTTAGTATGAGCATGCGGAAAGGATTTTGATTTTTGCTTCTTCACCAGGATAGTGAGAGGCACTGGAACACTGTTAATCGCTACAGACCCTTCATGGCCATAAGCAGAATCTCAGCTATTGCATAAACAGCTTCAGTGGAGTAGCTGGGAACATGCTGATGTACTCTGGCTGAGAACATGGCTACAGAAACATTAAAAAATGGAAATTCAAAAGCTAACTGTTTAACAGCAGCAATGACAATCTAAATTTCTTGTTTTCTTTTCAGAAGCTAACATGGCAAAAACCAACTATATTCCTTATGCATATAAAGAACAGCAGCATGGCCAGATAGGGCTTATCATCAGTACTGGATGTTCTTATTAGCTTCTAATCTGTCTTCATTTGATTTGACAGCACAGTTCAGGAAGTCTGTATAATGGAGGAGCTGGAGAGCTATTTCTGATTCCCACTTTCCCACCATGCCATTTACCTTGCAACCTTCGCAAGTGATGCAGCGATAATGATATCCGGTGGCTTTGTCCCCACATACTACACATAGCTCATCCTTGTCTAAGTAGCTGGGTATATACCCTGCAAAGAAAAAGAGGATGTGGCATGTAAACTCCATACAAAATTATATGATTTGATATAAAAAGATTGTATTAAAAACAACCACAGGTCTTGTCTACCAGTGCCATACTTCTGAACTCACTGAATTTCCTGGATAAAAGTTTGTACTATGTTACAGAGTATTCATACTGTCTATAATATTTTATATTATAATTACAATATAAATTACATTTATTTATATAAATATAAATTATTATATAATGTATATATTTTAATAAATTTGTATTATAATTATAATATTTAATATTTACAGTCTGTAATATTTGCTGTTCTTCAGACTGATTCAGTGTCTACTGGTCAAGAGGGAAAAGTTGGAACATGATTTCTTCTGAGTGAAATACTGCTTCAGAAAATATTCATTACTTCAAAAGATTTGATGTAAAATAATAAAATAGCAGTGAAAGCATACAATATATTTCTGTTCTATATATCAGAAAAACCCCAGGTTTCAGTGTGCCTGGGGAACTTGGTAGTAAGAAATATTTACTGACAGATGGTTTGTTTCAAAGCAGTGAGGTACTGGCAATATATATTCCAAGCTGTATTGATCATGCCTGACCTGGACACGTTCCTCAGAGTAGTTAACATAGCCTGAATTTAAAGTAAAATACATGGACATTCAAATATGTGTGTGTGTGTGTGTACATGTATGCATTAGAATGAAATTTTCTCTTCTGAAGTGGTTCACCAGATCCAGCCAGTGAAAATATTCCCGCTGTGAAAAAAATTGGCAATGCTTGGTTCTTTTCCCACAATGACATTTGTTTTGAAAACACAAACATATTTTCAATTTGAGCAAAAACCCAAAACAATTCTGATGGCAAGCAAAAAGTAATCGTAACTACAACTTTTAAACAGGGTAAAATACAAACCTTTCAAATCAATGTTTCCATGACAAATAACTAAAGGAGTTAAGGTTCATAACTTTACCTTCTGAAAAATCTCGCTGTGAAGATAGAGATCTCAGATTTCCTTTGAGGAAAGTGCAACTATATGTATAACTGTGTAAGATTGTGGAGTGTAGTGGAGTGTAGTAAACAGAATCCCACAACGGCTGAGGTTGGAAGTCACTTTTGGAGGTCAGCTGCTCCAACACCCCTGCTCAACACAGGCCCACCTAAAGCCAGCTGTCCAGGCCCATGTCCAGACAGCTTTTGGGTATCTCCAGGAATACCCAAAATACTCTACAACCTTTCTGGGCAATCTGTGCAAGCGTTCTGCTTTGCCACCTAGTGAAAAGAAAATACTATTTTATTATTCTCAGAAGGAATTCCCTGTACTTCTATTTGTGCTCATTGCCTCTTGTTCTGTCTCTCGGAACAGCGAGGAGTCTGGCCCTGTCTTCTACAGTACGGGGGATCAGGTATTCACACACACTGATATGCCCTCTTGAGCCTTCTCTGCTGCAAACTGAAGAGTCCCAGCTTTCCCAGTTCCTCCTCGTAGAAGAGATGCTTCATCATCTCTGTGGCCCTTTGCTGGGCTTACTCCAGGATTTGTGTGCCTTTATTCTACTGGGGAACCCAGAACTGGACCCAACACTGCAGATGTGTTTCACTAGATTGGAACAGAAGGGAAAAATCACATCCCTCAAGCTGCTGGTGATGATTTTCCTAAAGCAGACCAGATGCCATTTACCTCCCTTGCTCCAAGGACACACTGCTGGCCTATATGCAACTTGCTGCCCACCAGGACCCCTCAAGTACTTCAGTGCAAAGCAGTTTCCTGCCAGCTGGGCCTGCAATGCTGCATTTATTTCTCCTTCCATGGTGCAGAATGTGGCCTTTCCCTTTGATGGACTTCAAGAGATTCCTCTCATCCCATTTTTCTAGCCTTTATGGAAGCTGGTGAGTAAATCAGGAGAAAATAAAGAAGGCATAAAGTATTTGTATGGCCTAGTTTGAGTATAATCATGAGAACCTCAAATGATAGAAGAACACATATCCCTCTTCTCTGAAACAAGGAAGCAGTAATGCTGTGAAGCCATTCCTGGATACAGGCATCTCAGGTCTACCAATATTCCTACTGACATCTGAAAGGGCAGTGGGGGAACAATCTGAAATCTTAATGTTGTATCAAGCCAGTCTACAAGACAGCAAAAGACCAGTTATATTCAGGCTCCATTTCTCCATGATGAACAAGTTATGCTTGGATAGACTAGTGGCCATGTGACATTGAGGGATGGGACACAGCAGGGTTTCAATTCTAATTACATCACTGACTCCTAATAGACACTATGCTAGCAAGGGATTAGCAGAGGCTATTATCTTTATCCTGCCCCCACTCTACTCACACCTGCCTCTGCAACACATACACAACAGAAAGCTGACAGAGTGGGCAGAAGATGCAGCAAAGGGATATAGAATTTTCCCCTAAATTTATCATGAAGATCAATGGCTTCTTGTTATTGCTGGTAACTGGTATTCATGAAATAAAGTCTTTGCATAACATAAATAACATCCTCAAAAATTCAGTATCCCTGGTTAGCTTCCTCAAGAATTGCTTCTGAATTAAATGTCTTGATGTTTGATTAGTTATACAAGCTAGTTAGTGCTGTTTATGTAATGGCAGCTTGTTCTACTGGAGGACCAGGATGCCACTTGTCTAAACCGCTTCCTTAAATATATACAGTAGGTCCTGCATGTGACCACTGCTGTCTACCTCCTTCCTGGAGTTTTGTGACTTTATCCAATACAATAAACAATTTCCAGTCTGGCAGAACACACAATCTCCTAGGGGCACTCCTAGTCAGAAATTAAAAATGGTGTCTTTACATTGACAATTTTATTGCATCAGATGTGTTAAGTGCCACCCACCTAAACTACGTAAATATTATGTTCAGTACTTCTGCAGATTGAGTCCATGTCACAAGGGAAGTACACACATGGAACTCTTCTAGTGATTGAACAGGAAACATGAATAGAAAAATCTTATTCCAAGAAATCACTGGCAACAAAAGTGTGTAATACACACATCTTTTCTATTACAGTTTTCTATATTTTTAACACTTCCAACAGCTAATAGGGTCAGAAGCAGCTAGACTGGGAAGATTGGATCTTCAGTAGTATTTTTAGCAGATATAATTCAGACAGACATCGCTGCAAAAGGAGTAAGTGGATTTACATTCAGTTCTTACAAACACTAATGTCCATTCTAAGTAATTTCTAGTAGTTGCAAATATCCTGTATGACCTCTGTATAAATTCAATACAATTTCATTTGAAAGACGTGCAGCTAAACAGACTCAGTACATTTTTTCTGCTTCTCAGAGTTAGAAACAGCATTAGCAGGAAAAAATTCAACACTGTTTTTCTAAACATGGTACCAACATGGAAGAAATTAATAGTGCAGTGGAGATTCTTGGGGAAGCCATGGATGGCAGCAGAGTTCTCTGTTGGATGTTTTGAGGAGGGGAAGAACAACAGACTTGTCTCACTCTGAAGCAAAGATAAAAATGCCTGTGTGCAAAAGCAGATGCTCTCTGGACAGAGTAACCTTGCTGCTCTCTTACTAAAGAAGAATATCTGGTAAATCTCATGAGAACTTCAGGTAGGTACCTATTTCAGGTGGTCATAATTTATCTTTTATTTCTTGGTCAAAACCTTTTAAGTAAATAGCTAAGAGGAACTGTTCAAGAGCAACACCAACCTCACTGAATTGTACAAAAACCACCAATATTGTCCCTTGCTGTTTCAAGTCTGTCTGCTGTATTCAGCATCCTCATGGATTGTCATTTGTTGCATTCCGCATGATCCTCCAAGTTAATTATCTGTCAAGAATGACCTAACATTGTTTATCCCAATGCCCACCTTGGATCTTTGTTCTGAGTGGAGAATAATGGTGAATGACTTTGATCCACCATGTCTGGTGTTTCCCCTGTAGCCTAAAGTAACTCCTATGGTCCCCAGACTCCCACCTGCTAGTCTGCCTAATCTTACTGTCTTGGCAAGGCTAAGCACACAGCAGGACCAGTTGCCCCTCTCTAGTATGCCATATAATCCATTATAGCCAGTCTTGAGAGCGATTTAAATCACAACTGTAGCTTTGTAGAGGCATGGCAGAAAACAATTCCCTTCAACAGGAAAATGAACAATGCGTCTGCCCCAAGCAGCCATAAGGACGGAAGGAGATCTGCTAACCTATGCAGTCATCTGAGGTACTCCTCCATTAATACTGTATGTATGCACTCTTGAATTACCATTTGCAGGAATGATGCCTTAGAGCACCATATATGACCCTCCACAGTGTAATGGGATGAAGAGAGACAAAGAAGACACTCAGTGGTTATTCCTCCATGCAACAAGGAAAAGAAAAACTATTTCAATTATAACAAACTCCAAAAAGTTATAGTGTTTCTTTTTCCTCTGTACCTGGTACACAGTAACAACAACAACTAAAAGCATATTTTGAGAAAAGCAAAAGAACCGATTTCAGTTTTGTTAAAGTATCATTGCACATACTTTATATCTCCAGGTCTGTACAGATAATGAGATATTTGCCTAGGGAATTAAACCACACATTAAAAAAATTGTAAAACCAAATGGTATTTGACTACCAAACAGGGATATGAGTAACACCGATGCAAACAAATTATGCCTGTCTGCCAGATGTTCATTATTAGCTTGCTCCTAATCCAACGCAGATTTATAGCTTGCAGGCAGAAAATGCCATTTTTTGCTATTGCAGGAGGACAGTTACATTTCAAGACCATTATTCAGTATTTTAATTTTCACTATACACTGTCAGAGTCATGTATTAAATATATTTCCTGAAATCTTGCTTTCCCCCATCTGGTAGGGTTTGCATGACTAGAGACCACTCACTAAAATGAGGAGCTAGGATTTATCAGTAGGCTGGTATTCACTTACTAGACACTGCAGTACGAAAATGAAAAAGATGAAATTAATTACTACCTTGAGAATCCTCAACTATATAAAAACTGAAATGTAAATTTGTACTGCTGTTCTACTGCTTTCATAGTCACATTGAACTCTTTACAAATTATAAAAAATTACAAGGACTAGCCATACATCATCCTTGACATACTTGTGCAGAAAAAGCTTAAATGGAGTGTTTGTTGGTGAAAGCATAGAGCCAACAGAAAAAAAGCATACTCCATTCTTATTTGTGCTATTATCAATATTGATCTGAAAGGCTGGGCAGATACACTGATCCTTGTTTCCCACTTTCTTTAAATTACTCCCACTGAGAAAAATGGCTTATTTCTCCTTTGAACTTGGGAGCACTGAGAATGTTGCTGAGCAGACTCACACTTTTCTTGTTAGCTAATTGGCTTGCATGTCCTCAATTTTGAACTTTGTTGACATTCTTCGATTTATGAAATTACTAAAATTTGGCAAAAGATTCTGCAAAGATCGAATCTAAAACATCTTATAGTCCCTTTTCTCTCAATGACTTTTCAGTTCATTTGCTGTGTTCCTTTGGCTGAGTCAGAAACCTCATCAACAACAGTGCTTTTGCAGAGAATATGCTGAAAACATTTTATCCCAAACTATGTTGTCACTTAAACTTCTGCGATCAGTATTGTACCTGCAGCCATTACCAACTGCAGGTTGAGGTTGACTTTGAGGGTCAGATCATGCAATTTTCCCACCCCCCAAATTATTTAAATGTTTTTAGAGACAATATCTTAGTATCGCAAGAAAGTTACTTGTTTAGAAATCTAAGCTTCACTGAACAAAGCAAAGTATAACCTACTTCACTTTCTCATCCTTCATCTGGTTGTGGAAAGGTGATGAAAACACATTATTTCCATTGACTTTTGTTATGAAAGAAACGTTAACTCCAAATGCATAATGATTTATGCAATGGATTATGCAATTTTTTCTTAGTGCTGTTTCCTTAGATGGGTGGTCAAGAGCAAAATGAGTATTTTTAAGCCTCGAATAATCGTTAACATACTGGGAGCTGCTCTGCTGCAAAGGCCAGGATGACAAATTCTCAGCATTTCTGTAAATTGATTATATCCACACACACTCCCTGCATTGATGAGATGACATTTTGGCATAAGCTACACTTTACTTTTTCTTAGCTATTTAGAAAGTACCCTAATGTTCTCACACTGCTGAGAATTCAGTTTGAGCTAATTCAGTTGCATACTCTAGCACTCATACACTACATACTCCCAGCTGCACGTTAATTGCCTGAGAAAATATAAGGAGAAATAATTGTGGCAAATACAGTTATAAAAACAATAACAATAATAACAGCTTTCAAAGCCCCATTCTCCCACCATACCAAGAGCCCTTCAAAACATGGCATTAACCTCACTGGTATCTCACTGGTATCTCACTGTATCTCACTGGTATCTGGGAAGCAAGGTTAGCTGCAGGGATGAGAAGCCAGCTCTGTTACAGCCTAAACTCAAGAAATCCCCCCTGCAAACCCTTGGTTTGGAGGGCAATCTGCCTACTGTTCTCTGCCCCACAGAATCTAAAGCTAAAGTCTAACCTCACAGACACCTGTGGACATTTTTCATTAATATCGTCCAAGAAATTACCATGCAAAAGGGAAGTGAAAGCCAACTCTCATCCCAGTTTTAAACTTGCAGACATTCCTCCCATGCTGTTCAAATGTCCAAAACACTGTGTAGACACCAAGTGTGGGGAGACTGAGGTTTCTGGACTTCTGTACATATTTCTTTTGTACCTTCCTAGCTGCATTATCTCTGCCCTGTCACTGGGTACTCCTCCTCACAGTATAGGTGGTGTGAAGAGATCCAGGGACATTTTTGCCTGTCTGCTCAGCCTCTGCATCGGGTCAGGGGGGTGCAGGCTCCCCCTGAGCATCACTCATCCAGCGGGCACTGCTGCAAGCTCACCAGGACTGGCAGCACTGTATGAGGGGAAAAATATTCCAGTTTAAGTTCTCTGCGACACAACTGAGAATAGCACCTCGTTCTCACGACGATGAGCCTGTTCTGCTTATCAGGTTTCACAGCATTATGCGGAAAACAAAGTGTATCTGGCTGCCTGTTTCCTAGGGCAGGATCAGGTCCGAAAGGGCTTCCTTAATAAAACAGTAAGTTCTTGCACAAATGTTGTGCTGTCACCTTTTAACAGCGTACACCAGAGAACAAAAGGTAATGGAGCAACAAGTAGGTGAAAAGCTAAACCCACATCTCCACCTCTTGATTTTCTGGACTAGCATTCTTTTCTTTAAAAGTTAATTCTTTCATCAGCATTTCTGACAGATAGTCAGGAAAAAATAGTTTTTAATGTACTGTAATAACTGAAGCAGCTTTCTGGTATTTAGAATAACTGGCTATGCTTTATAAATGCTTATGTTTTTTTTGCTGGGGTCTTTGGTTGTTGTTTTTCAAGTTATTTTCTGAATTCTTTCAAAGTGACATAAAAATAGAGAAGTAATTAAATACCCTTTCACAAATTATAAGCTTTCCAACACATAAAATGTTGATTTTTTTCTTTCCAGAGGGAAAACAAGACTTTAACCATTTAGTAACTAGGAAAAGTTCTCATAGGAAACGAGTCCATGTGCTACTGTAAAGTACAATCTGATTTGAACAGCATATTATTGAGATTATGACAAATTTCAGGGGACTAACAAAAATACCAACTGCAACAATCAAGACTCCTCATGAACACCTGTTTAGGGACTTAATTTTGCTTTAATGGGCTATTACCAAGGCTTCTCTAACAAACTCACTCGCTCCCCCAATCAATTCTGGATCAATACAGACACACATGCCCTGTGAAAAGCCTTCTGTTCTTAGGACAGGATTAAAAGATTCATTAGTTTTACGATAGCTTGCTTAAAAGATAGAAATTGAAAAAAAAAGAAAAGAAAAGAGAAGATGCACATGTTCCACACAGTTTAGATCTCTTCTGCTTAACAAACTCAACATTTGTGAAGGTTTGACAGAAGGGAAGCCACTTTTTATTGATTATCACAGTAATAAGGCTCTAAAGAATCCCAAAACACGTTGCTCAGTCTCTGTGAATGATCAATTAAAAGCCTGCTTGAGAGCCGGCATCCACGGAAATTCACCGCCATTTCTTAGGGAAACTGAGATGGTAGAAAACAAGGGCATACGAGCTGTTTTTAAAAACAACTCTGTAGTCTTTCAAACAAACAAGTTCAAAAACTTTACACAGGGCAGATGTCAGGTGTCTAAATACTGAAATAACTTAAAGCTCTGATCTAGGTGAACCAAGTATTATTCATAACCTTTAACATTATAAAGAATGTATTCCTTCAGTGACTTTGCAACAGCAAGTCTTTATTTTTTCTAAGTTAAGCCTGAGATAAACTTTTTCTTTACTCAAAAATAAGACATGGAAAAGTCTACAAAGGCTATGAATTCATTAATTAAAACGCAACAACAGATAAACAGCCTTAAAAAACATTTAAAATGTTGCACAACACAAAAAACATGCTTTATCCACAACTACATTTAGCCTACAATTTGATCATGCTGTTACAGCTTCCAAGAAGGATTTAAAAAATAATTTTCTTTGTTATGAAATACGATGCTGTCCAATGTATAAAATTAAGACATTTTTCCATCAATCATAGAGGTTTGTTGCATCAAGGGTTAGTGAATATTTTCTGCCTAAAGGAAAATACTTGAGTTTTCCATGCAGTTAATAAACAGTACACTTTTCACTACAAAGATACTTCAAAAGTAGTAAATGGTGTTTTCTTTATCTCTCTAGTTACATCAGATTCATCTGGATTTCAGAAAACTGCATACAGAAAATCTGGTCTGATCAGAAAAGGACATTATTTTGCCATAACATACAGTTTATTTTTCTTCTTTAATAAAGCGATTTTAAAGAAGCACAGAGAATGTATACTTTGTATGCGTCAGTTCGGTTGCTGAGTTCAAAACAAACAACACTGAAAACATTTCCAAGTGTTTGCTAGTATTTTGGGCTCTTTTTAAATCTCCTTTGATTACTTGAAAGCAAAAGAATAAATTCTAAAAACTGACAATGATTTAACCCCTAGGGAGCAGACACTGCACTTATCTCACAAACATATTGATTAGATCAACCTTTCAGATGCAAAGTCATCTTTCTTGCATAGATATATTCTTGAATTTTCAGTCTTTTTTGCTCTGCATAATCAGAAACTTGTGGTTTTCACTTAGAAGACAGTAACTCAAACACAATCATTTCCCGTACATATTTAGAGTCCTATTTTCAAAATCTTTCGCCTGAGTTGCTGAGCAAACAGAGTTCACATTTATTGAAAACACTGACTTACACGGTTTGTATGTAACCAGAAACATAGCTTTAAGATGCAGAATATATAATGACGACATTTCAGGAGAGAAACTTTCTTATCAAGCTCACTGGTGAATAGCAAAGGAACTTAATAGCCCAGGAAAGCAGAAAAAAAAAGCAATATACTTGCAAATGTCTCTTATAGATTAAGAAAAAGTGCTTGGAAATCCTCATCGCTCACTGAAAACCTTACAATCACCTAGCAACCTATGTTACTGCTGCTTTCAATTTTGAACAGGCAGCCTTCACATTCAAAGATGCATCTGAGCCAACTGATGCAACTGTAAGTTTAAAGCAAAACAAAAACAAAAACAGAGATTATTTTTTTTTTGTTATTTAAATAAAATGCCCCTACCTTTCTTCTGAGAGTACGATGGCGATTGCACTTGAGAAAAAGTAGGTTTTTCTTCTGTGAAAAATTCAGGTTGGTTGTACTGATTCAGGGCCATGTCCATGTCAGAGTACTCGCTTTTAAACACGTTTCCAGGGTAACTACAGGTATAAGGCTGATTCACCGCCCAGGCCTGTTCCATATATATGTTGTTACTGTGCAGGACCTGAGCATCACAACTGCTGTAACCCTGATTATCTTCGATATATGTGCAATAATCAGTGGACTGCATGTAGCAATTGCTACCAGCAGCTGGGTGCACTTCATATATTTCTTGCATACAGTAGTTCATTTTGTTAGCCTATCTCAGCTTCTACTTTACGTACACACACACATGCATACACACGCAGGCATGCATACACATGGATCGGGAGAGGAGCAATGAATATACACCAACAAAGTCGACTGCAAAACAGCCCGTTTTACTTCGGAGCAGCACCTGATGTGCTAAAATCCTATTTATATTGGGACGGCTTGTGAACTCCCCTGCCAGTCAAACATATTGGGAAGCAGATTTATGACAGTCAAAGGTCTTAATCTGTGACTGTAAGTTAATTCCAAGGGAAGATGGCAGTCAGGTAGCAATGACCACCAGACAAAGAAGCGACATCCTGACAACCCTCCTGTTCCCCCGTTTGTCTGGAATAATCATTTTATAAACCATTTCCAGCCTTTTCCAATATGATTAGAAAACGATTACTAAGGCGAGGACACAGTTATGTCACTGTAGTTGTCAACTTAAGTGTGAAGAATTATAAAGACTGCTTAAGAACTCCCAGAGGGGATACGCTGAAAATCCTAAAATCAATAATCCTGTTTTTCAGCATTAAACCATAGAAAATCCAATAGTGCTGTGCTGATGACCCAAACAGAAGTCTAGTTTTACAAAATTTAGCAACTTAATCTGTCATCAGCTTTATTGATTTTGTTTTACAGAATTACATGCATGAATCTCCCCAGCCTTCCACACATACACAATCTTCCCCACTGCCTGGTAATGAATTTACGGGAAAGAGGCTTTTCTAAACTTCAGTGATTGCAAGAAGTAATTTCTATTGAGTTCAACAGGTGGGAAACTTCAAAATAATATAATCAGCAAAAAGAACACTGCTTAAATATTATCAGTAAGCTAATTGCTTTGCTATTCTGCTTTGTTATCTTTTCTGTTTCAGTAATGACGTATTTTTAGAAGGGCATTTTTCTGATAATAGAGTGAGGAAAGGAAGAAATATTTTTTGCTCATTTTGGCTCACCTAGGAACTATGAACATGACAATGTCACTACAACAAAAACTGCATCATATTTTAATTGCTTAATGCACCCCAAAATTGTATGTTTAATACACCTTCTTTAATCAGTCATTCTTTTTTCATCTAAAAAAAATATTTTAACTTCTATTAACTGCTATTTTTTTTTTTTAATTAGGAAAAACACGTTTTTCTTTACAGCACAGCAAGTAGGCAACAAACTATCCCTTTCTAATATCTGTTCTTATTATTAGCGAGCTGAGTTACTACTGATTTGATGAGAGCTTCCTTATTTCACTTATTTTAAACTAAAGGATTGCCAAAATGACCATGTAACTTGGCCCTTTTTCTTCTAGGATCTCAGTTATTCACCTAACAATCTTGATGAACATACTCTTAAATAGTCCTCAAAAGTTCAGTGCAATAGGTAAGAACTGGACATGACATGTTTGTATTTTTTTCCTATCTGATATTGCTAAATATTTCAGACTAATAAAACCAGCCAACAGAGAAACATGTACCTTCCAACATACACTGTATCTAACCTATCTAAATAAGCAGTTAGTGCCTAATTAACTACCAAATCCAGGACAAGTCCTTCCAATGATCAGAAAAGTTAAAATTCATACTTGGAGTTCTTCTTCCCCCTCTAACTATAAAAGAAGCAGGAGTTCTTCTTCCCCCTCTAACTATAAAAGAAGCATCTTTAATGTGCATTTCTTATCAACTTGCTCATAAAATAATAATACATTTAGTAAGTCAAACTGAACTCTGTTGAGATCACTGCTATGGAAGTTAATGAAGTTGCCTCTAAAATGAACTTATTCTGCTAAAACTCTAATAATTTAAACACTTTATTTCATTAAGATCACAGTTATTGAAATTCAACAAATAAAACCCTAATGAACCCTCATTCATTTACCATTGTCTAACTCAACAAATACCACTCTAAAATACAGTGTGAAAAAGCACACAATAAAAGTTAATATTCATTTTAGTTCAGGCCCATCATCTAGATTTTACAAACAGTGAGTTTGTCTGTGGTAAAAAACATGTATCATGAAGGATCTGATTTTTCAATGATGGACGTTCAGCACTTGATAAAAAATGCCTGTTTCATTCAAGAAATTCTACAACAGTTGTTTATACCGAGACCCCCAAACCATTCCCACTAAGGTGATGGGTTGGTAATACTGTAGTGTGTGTAACACACAGAGCTTGGTGAGTTTACTTCTCCACACTCCCAATAAAACATTCCCAAGTACAGTGCCTGGTTATTCATTTACCATAGAAAGATCCCCGGTACCGCCAACAGGAATTTATGTAGAGCTCCCACAGAGGTGAGGCTGTGTTTTACAGGTTAGCAGAGCACAGTATCTCGATACTTTTACACCACTCAGAAAAGTTTTGGAGAGCTGGACTTTAAACTCTTAGTGAGAATTTTTACCATGTGGATTTGCTTTGTCAGCAAAGTCAAAATTCTCATTAATCTTTTCTTCTCTTGATTTTTTCCCCCCTCTGACTGGATTTATGTTTGTTTCTGAAAAACTAAACAGAATTGAAAATCCTTGTGTAGATAGAGTTGTTCTAGCCAGGATGGCACCTGAGGAAATAGTATTTCAACATGGTACAGCCTGTGACTTACTTTCTGTTCCAAAATAAATCCTTCAAAAATTTCTTTTTTTCTATTGCTGTATCAATAATGCTTAGAAATGTGTCACATGTACTATTTTTGTCAAGAGTTCCTTTAATACCACAAGGAAATGAAATTACATGAAACTGTGAAGGATGAGGAAAAAATGAAAAATTAATGTAAGACTTTTCCAACAAACAAAACAACACAAAAAAACAAACAAACAAAAAAAAAGATGAACACTGCCAGGGAATGTGGGTTCTTTACCTGTGATATGCCAATATTAAAGAGATTTATAGCTCTGCATATTGTTGTTCCCTTGGAAACCAATCAGTTCAAAGAATAGTGCAAAGATTTTAAAAACTGAAATATTCCTAAAATATTTTCATTTTAATCTTTTAGGGTCCAATCCTGTAAGTTCATTTCATGTACGCCTTTGAATTAAATTGTCTGATACAAGACAGTCAGACAGTGTCTTTATCAAAAGTCTGAAAGTGGAGTAGAATTATATTAACAGTTTTTCTTTCTTTTGTATTCCGATTTGAATATTTGTGTCTTTACATCATGTCATGTTGAGCTTTTATTGCCTCCAGCAATTTAATATCACATTTTGAATTTTATTAGTTCACACATGTCTGATTATGTGAATACATGGAGGCTAATCACCATCAGAATAAACCCTTCAAGCAAACAGGCAAACAGGGATAAAACAGAAATTTTGATACTGCAACAGCAGAGGATCCAAAGCGTGAACCTTTCACAGTCTAAGGTGTTAGTCCATTGCTCTAAAAAAGGAAGGTATTACTTTTTGAACATGTGTCTGGAATGCCCCAGAGGTTTTTATATACTCACCCTGGTGTAAATCAGAAATCTAGCGCAGTCAGTGATATTAACTAGGTAGGCAGAAATCAGGCCGAGAATGCCTGAAAGAGGGCTTCAGCAGAAGAGACTGCCTTACACTACACCATTCAGCCCTTCATTAACTCATGTTTTACAAGTTATGACTAAGACTTTTAATTACAAACAATGAAATACGCCCATCAAGATGCACTTACTTCTCTTGTGACTTAGCTTGGTTATAAAACCCACCAAAATGAACCCACGGAAATGTTAAGGAAAGACAAAAATCCTGTGGATGACACTACAGCCTGGACACTACAGCCCAACCAACAGAGGTCCCTGAAAAAAAGAAGTCTCATGCAGTACAATTTAATCTGCTGTGGCATATTACCTGCAAGAGTCCTATTCTCCTGACTTTTTCCAAACTGTGCACCCCTGGTCTAGAGTCCTGGGTATCTCAGTGCTGCAGACAGGGCCCCTGCACGCCGTTCTAAAAGATTCGGCAGTGTCGGTACGTGGGAGGTATTGCAGAGCATTCAAATCAGTAAGGGCAGAGTGCCACTTCTGAAGGACCAAATGGAAGGATCTTACGTTGGTTGCTGTTCAGACACTTCATGGATAAAGATGAATTAAAATATAGTATTTAGTAAAAAAATTTTGCACATTCAAACATGTAGTTGCAAAGATTAAACAATCTGTTCTGAGCTCCTCACAGTTTTGTATGCCTGTATTATCAGTTCCTAGTTTTGTAAAACAAATTTTTACACATTACAAAATAACCGTTATATTTCCTATTTATAGATTTTATTGTTGCCTGAATTGCCTCAGCCACCTCTGATGGTTTTGGGAAAGAAAAATGAAATAGATCACTGCTTTTTGAGCAAACACAAATCTGCACTTTCATAACATGGGCTACATTCCAGACTGATCTTCCCATATCATAAGGAAAATACACTGAAAACTGCAAGAGCTTTTGAGCAAAACTACTAATATGGCTATTACAACACACGTAAATTGTCAAATACCACTATCTCAGTGCCCAAACAATGAGTTACCATCTCTCTTTAATATATGTGTTTGCACCACCTTATTCATTCACTTTGCACACTCTTACCAAAGATGCAAAATGGTTTCTCAGAAGTAAGGCTGTGCAAACTCACTGTTAGAGATTAAGCTAAGAAAACCTAAAACATCAGAATCCAAAATAAAAACAAGCATTTACAAAAACAGAAAATTAACTCCTCATGGTGTTTATATTATTTTGAAAACTCTACTTGTGACTAAATCATAAGGTATGTAGGATTATGGAATTCTAGTGCTGAAAAGTCACAACAGCATTTGACAGTTCCTGGAGTATGTCTCAGTGGAAGATAATACATTACAAAAATCATAATTTTGTCTATGCTGCATTTATAGTAGCAGTCAAAGGAAAAAAAAGATAAATCTTTCTGAAATAAAATGATTTCCTTGGGTTTGCAACAGATGCAGGAAGATTCAAACCAGTGGTACAAACCACAGGAAAATCTTAGACAACAGCACACCTCTTTTCTCCACATGTACCAAGTTAGCTATTTCTCTAAAACTGTTCTTCTCACAAACCCCAGTGCACCTCGGTTACGACATGACACTAAATTTGTCTGTGACTCATAAAATGCCAGTATGATGTGCCTTTTATTGAAATACTTCAGACTCATTAGTCTGCTTGAATAACAA